TTCTGTTACATTTTCACTTCCTTTTAATTTTCTCAACAAACCTTTCATGTTCTCAATATGGTCGAACACTCCGCATAACTAATGCCATGTTAAACTCCAATTCTCTTTAAATCTACAATGTCATCAAATTTATCAATAATTTCTTAACTTTGTGAAGTAAAACAAGAAGCCCATTACTTTAAATTAAGTGGCGCAGGTTTATGCTGGGTGGTGCCAAAATAATTGACTTCCCTTAGACAGAATATCTCATCATTTCTTTTGTATTAAGACAGAATATCTCATCATTTGCTTTATGAAATTATAAGTATAGTGGATCACACTCCGAGATAATGTTTTTTATCTTAGAAAGTAAAAATAAAGGTAGCATCAACTTGAAAGAAAGGGCGTAGCGGAATAATAGAATTAAAAATCTTGCTCTCTGGAACATCACCATTTTCAAAAAAGAAAATTTTTAAAACCTTGCTTTCTGGAACTAAGATAATAGTCAAAACATCGATCAGTATCCATTTGAATTAGGTGATGAATATCATGTCTGCGAATCAACAAGAGAAAAATGATTTGTTCTTTGTTTCATTGTTTTATTTTCTCAGGCAGTCCCCTGTCATCTTTTCTTAAAACCAATGGAAGTTATGCTCGGGTTTTCAATATTCATACGGTTCTTGCAGTTTTGCCCATTTCTTGAAATGCTCATGGGGGACAAAAACTACTTGCCCTTGTTTTGGTTTTGATGAATACTCTATATAAAGTTTAGTTTAAACTTTTCTTTTCCCTCAAGTTATCAGTCCCCTGTCGTCTTTCCTTAAAACCAATGGAAGTTATGCTCGGGATTCCAATATTCGTACGGTTCTTGCAGTTTTGCCCATTTATTGAATTGCTCATGGGGGACAAAAACTACTTGCCCTTGTTTTGGTTTTGATGAATATTCTATATAAAGTTTAGTTTAAATTTTTCTTTTCCCCTAAGTTGCGATTTTCGGTTGATATTAGGTGAAGGATAGCTTAAGAAGTGATCCTCGTTATAAGTCTGTTAAGCATGAAGACAGAGAGACTTTATTCAATGAGTATCTATCGGAACTGAAGGCTGCTGAACAGGAAGTTGCACGAATTGCAAAAGCAAAACACGATGAAGAGGTGAGTTCTTTCCCAACGAATACAACATTACCATTCTACAAAAATAACTCTTCTCTTTTTCCAATTTTTGGCACCTTCTTTTTCTTTGTTTAAGCATTTCTTCTTTCGACTTGGCTTTTGTTATATTATTTTATGAATATTTATTAGGGTAATCCAAGTTTAATATCATACTATATCATTTTGGGTTTGTGTTCTCTCTCTCTCATATTATGGTCTTCCTTTTTTGGTGGGGGAGTTAGATATCTCTCAACTGTCTTTCTAAAATATGGTTTTTAAATTTTTCCTATTAACCTGTAACTAGTTATATACTGTAAATCTCAATGTGGAACTTAAGTGTACAGATAACACCTACGATTTGACTCTAACATGCAGTTAGTTCCTTGTCACCTCTCTTATTTACTTATCACGTAACCAGTTACATCGTAAATCTTAATTTGGCACTTAAAACATACAGATAACACCGTTTGGATTGGCTTAAAAGGTAGTTTTTAAAAAGCAAATTTTTAAAGTCAAACTTGAATGACGTATAAGTCAAAAAATAAAAAGTAGGGAGAGTCCTACTTTTGACTTTTAACTTATTTTAAGTTATTTTAAATTTGCCAAACACTCCTAAAAGCTAAAAATGACCTAAAAATAAGTTTGACCAACTTCGGAGTGAATCCTACCAGGCTCTTAACATGTGGCTAATTCGTTGTCGCACACCCTAACCCACCCCGTCCTCTCTCTCTCTCTCTCTTTTGAACATGCACACATATTATATATAGGGGTTAGAACTTTTAAGCCGTTTGTAGAGAGGACGAACACTTAAACCCCTATATTCTTAATTCTCTCTATCTCTCTCTGTCTTATGTTATTTCCCATGAATCCAAATGCACCTAGTTCCTCGAAGAAAATGCTCGAATCTAATTGGAACCTATCGTTGAAAGAAAATGAATTTGTACCTAACTCAATTTCAAAAGCTAGTTCATCAGAGGTGAGAATTGCTCAAAACCATATAAGGTGACAACGCATACCTTCGACCAAGATGAAACTCTAACACCTCTTAACACGCGTAGGTCATCTCTTCGGGTAGTTTAATCATATTCATTTGTCTTTATTCAATGGTTGTCTTTCAACTCTGTTGATTCAAGCCACTGTGTTTGTGCCTCCAACTAAGGGCTCTCACTGATTCTCTCTATTATGTTGATTGTGGTAGACAACAAATAATTGTTGCTTTGTGATTTTAATTAATTTTACTTATTTAAGTTATGTGTGTATTTGGACCGTCAATCTGAAGTTTTGGAAAAATCTGTATGTAGTACATGAGGTTCTAAAGATGTTAATGGCTATCTGCCTGACTTTTTAGGATAAATTGAAGGAAAGAGAACGTGCTTTGCGAAAACGTAAAGAAAGAGAAGAACAAGAAGTGGAGAGGGTGCGGTCGAAAGCTCGTAGAAAAGAAGCTGTTGAATCTTATCAAGCCTTGCTGGTTGAAATAATTAAGGATCCTCAGGTATTATCTTGTATAGACCCCAAAACTGTTGCAAGGAAATATCTTAGAACGTGTGTCATGGATCATATCCCATCATTTGATTAGACTGTTTGTCTGGATAGTTCAAGAACCTTGAAACAGAACTTCTGCTTCATCCTAATAAGCTCATCAGCTGTTTGCCTGCCTTCATCTTAATTAAGAAACAAAATCCAAAAGAACTTTCTTTGTTGCAAAGTCCATCGATTTTTACACGGTTGGTTTGCCTTCCTAAATTGTGTTGTAAATAGCAATGCTCCTTGGTGCTCATCATTTATGTAGTTATAATTCTTGAGTTTGGGCTTTACAATTGTGTTGTTTACTATGTGGTTAACTGTTGAAAGGTCATTCCGTTTTATTCTCTGGATGTCTATTTTCAATTTTTTGAGATATCCTTCTGCCTTGCACCCAAGGCTTCTTGGACAGAGTCAAAACCTAAATTAGAGAAGGATCCCCAAGGACGTGCAGCTAATCCTCATTTGGATCAGTCTGACTTGGAAAAGCTTTTCCGGGAACATGTGAAGGTGTTGTATGAGGTGAGATTACTATTGTTGTTCTTTTTTAGGTTAATGTTATCCTTGTTATCTGCTTTGTAGGGGGAGTTGATACTTGCAAGAGTTGCTAATATTTATCTAATCTGAGTTACTTGCATAAGGTTGTGCAATTTCATAGAATTTGTTGTTTTATTTTTTTCCTGTATCTCATAGGATCAAGAAGCTCTTTTTTTTTTTTAAATGACAAGGAAAACTTGCAGGCGCTGCCCTTTTAGTGCGCATAGGATAAAACAACCGCTAGCTCACGAACCATATAGGAGAGGTGACCTGCACCTCGCAAGCCCGGTATGAAAAGCTTGACCCAGAAGGCATTCCCCTTGCTTTCACTGGCAAAGGGTTTCAAACTTGAGACCTCCAACAATGTCATTGGGCCACCCGAAGGATTTAATAAAAAGAAGATATTATTGTTTCTTCCCTTCATCAATAATTATCTTTTTTGTTTTGGTAAAAATAAGATATTATTGATAAAGGGAAAAAACAACGGCAGTTGAAGTGTACCAAAAAGTAGAAAATTGGTTTTCAACAAGAGTCACCTATTGTTTATACAAACAGGAATCTTGTGGGTGCACTAAGAAGCGGTGAGGGGGCAATAAGCTATTCCGCTTGTGTAAAAGTCATTCTCTGCTCCTCAAAAGTTCTCCTTTTACTCTCCCTGCAAATTTTCCGCATAATGGTTAGAAAAGCCACATCCAATGCCCTCTTCTTTTCGGACTTCTGAATGTCCAACTAAACATAACTTTCTTTACCTCTTGCATGATATCATCGAAGACTGAAACATCCCGGTGTCAATCAGATGTGATCACACACATGAAACTTTTTACCCCTCTCCATCTTTCAGAATTGAATACATTACTAATTATAATTCTTTGTTGAGTTTCTAATTACAAGTGGTTTTTAAAATATTTTGAAGTATTGATAAGCTCTCCTCATAAGTTGCTTAAAAATAATAAAAGCTGTAATTGATGTGTGTAAGTACATCTTTTTCCTTTCATATCTGATTGTAAGTGTTCTGTATCCCCCTTCATTGCTTGAAATTTATTAGCAGTTCGCATTATTCAAAACAGACGTGTGTATGGTTGTTTGTTATAGCCCCTGTTATGCATGCAGTTTATCTGTTTCATCGTTTATCAAGAAAATCGTATTCTTCTTTATTCTTATACTATATATTTTGGTTTACCAGCGGTGTGTACAAGAGTTCAAAGTTTTGTTAGCCGAGGTCATAACTGTTGAAGCTTGTTCACGAGAGACAGAAGATGGTAAAACAGTTGCAAATTCTTGGTCAACAGCGAAACAAGTACTCAAAGGTGATCTCAGGTATTCAAAAATGGCAAGAAAAGATAGTGAAACCTTATGGCGCAGATATGTTGAGGATATTCATCGGAGGCAAAAGTCAACACTCGATGAAGCAGACAAGGCAAGAAGTAAAGGATCTTCTGATTCAAGGAGAAGGTGAAGTGAAGAAGCAGTAAATGTAACTATTTCTAGCTTTCTCGACCTTTCGTCTAAGATCAAGAGTAGTAGTCCTCAAGCATTTAGATTCATCTATCTTTTAAGAGTCGTTAGGAAACGGAGTACTTGCTGCCAGTTTCTTGGCAGTTTATTTATCCATTCAAAGCCCCAGTGTTTAGAACTTTGTCAAACCTAAGCTTTCATACTTAGGTGGTCATGTTGTAGATTTGATTTCTTTTAATTCCATGTATGTTAGAATTTGAGATCACAGCCAATTCTCTTTCGTAGTATTGAATCGAATCGAGTCATCTCTTTTCCATTTGCTTGGAATGTTTGTGAGATCGTTTGACAGACTCAGAATTGAGTATTATTGTACTTTTCCCCATCAAAACAATGTACAATATCGATAAGTGCTACATTGATGCAACTAGTAGGCTAAGAATAGTAAATATGAATCTTGTTGAAACAAAATATTACATCACACTACAGATTGTCTAAAGAGTATTGACTGTATTACAAAATTTTCAATTTGAGTACTCTTCGCGATCATTGATTCTATGTAGATCATGACCTAGACCAATGTAATATAAGTTAACAAGAGCAAAGCGCGAGTCTACCTCGTTATTTTGTTGGAATGAAATCGGCAGGGGGTTTAATAGGATTGTCTTTGTCAGGGTCTTTCTCTTTCTCTTCTTCCTTCTCTTTCTCTTCGTCTTCTTCTCCCTCTTCCTCTTTCTTTTCTTCTTCTTCCTCCTCCTCTTCTGGAGGATCACCCGGCATAGGAGGTGGCAAGGGAGTTTTCATGGGACTGAATTGAGGAAATATATCTGCTCTTCGTCCGGGCTTGGGTCTTTCCCATTCCTGCCAACAAACATGTTTCATCAAAATGCCTAGCAGCTTTCATGTCAAAATTCTAGAAAGCAAATTGCAGTATCGGTTCAAATACTACACTTCCTATAGTACACAATGCACAAGATTGTTGATTAGGACATCGAATTATCAAGAATGACATTGCCAAGGAAGCTCCTAGAAATTTACACTAAATGAAAGGGTCAAAATTGTATCATTGGTACCAGATTCTTGACATACCAAGGTTAGCTACTTGGAAGAGACGGAACACCTCTTAGTTGGAATATGAATAACTTCGATCAACTCATGTCTCCCCTCTCTCCAAGACAACTAAAACTTTACCCAGTGGATATCATTCAAGAGGAAAGAGGGGAGGATCAAACTACGACCAATAATTAACTTGTCGCAGGGTTTCATAAAGCAATGATCACTGCTTATGGACCTAAACCTGGGTGGATCTATCCATGGCTACGAAGAAATTATCCCTTCTTTCCAGCAGTTTCTACACCTTCGATTAGATTTTCTCCACTACTTTCTGATGAGTGATTGACAGGAAAAGATTGTCTTGGCTTCAAAAGTAGGTTATGTAGGCCTAAAACCTTTCTTCTAGGTTGTTTCAACAGGCCAAATAGCAGATAAATGCTATGCTTGAGATTGCAAGAAGAACCACTCCTCTTAAAAACTGACTAATCAAACAAAAGGGCTAACTTTATTATGAGGATAGAAAATTTGGTTACGCTCCGTGTACAATTTCAGAAATTTCATTCTATTTTTGACCACATAAAATCGAAATCGGTAACTTGATAGTTTTGAGTATAATGCACAATTTATTTCATCCAAACAGCAACAATCATTCACACTTAAATAACCATTAACCATAAAAAACCCTACCTTGTGGAGGAAGATAGATTGGTTTCAGAGGACCCTCGGCTCAATTGCAACAAATCAAAGTAGGTATAGAAAGCAAAAACAGCAGTGAAGAATACAGAGCAACTAATAAGATAACAGTTATAACAACAAAATAGTATGATAATCGAAACACAACAAACAACAAATGATGATAGAAAGACACTACAAGTAGAAGTCTAATACTACCCAACACACCGCCCAGCTTAAACCCGTCGGAAAGCAAGACAACACCCCACTACTAATCTGCTAAGTTGAAGTTGCATCGCAGGTTTCAACAATACAAATTGCAATTTCCTATGCTATTTTCTGATCAGATTTGGCACAATTCAAATCGTCCAAATAGCAAACAACAGCTCACACTTAAACAACCAAAAACCATATCTGGATTTTAAGCTATCATTACAACTTCTACACAATACATTTTACTCTTACCACACACTAAGCTGCAGTCCATAATAGCTAATAGAAGAACACATCTACAATTAAAGTTAAATAACCAGAAACAAAAACGAGTTTTCGAAGCTTACGATAGGGAAGTCCAGAGGTGAACGTTGAGTCTTCTTCTCTTCTTCCGGTGCCATACGCACTATCTGTGAACTCCTTCTAGATCTAGAATAACACAGAGATGTCGGTCTCAAAAACGGCATTAAAGCAACGGTGTGTGGCGGCTGAGAGAATGAGCAAGTTAAGAGGCCAATACACGACGGCGACGACGATGTTGAGGATACAGAACCGGAGCAGTTTAACATCGCCGCCGTACATGGCGGCGTAGAAGATAACGCCGGCACAAGAGACGATAACGCCATTGGAGTTGCGGCAGAGAGAGGCTGTTTTTCGCTTCTTCAGCTACTTTGAGATATTGGCGGTGGAAAATGTATTGGGCTTTTTTGAGGCCTTAGAATTCATTTACATTTTAGGCCCATCAAAGCTAAAAGGATAGTTTAACATTCGGACTTCAGAGGTCGATTTTTTTAGCGTTAAAAATTTAAAGATATAAATCGATCTTTAGACGTAAAATTGACGTTGCATCGCTAGAGATCCACATGCACATACAATTTTCGAAATGTATATATTGAATTCAGTTGTTCGGATAAATATTTAATGACTTCATATAGATATACATGTATATATATACAATTGATCAAGGACGAATATAGATTACGATTGCGAAAATGCAATAATGTTTGCACGAATCATGATTTGCTTCAAAAAATATAATAAATAAATAAATTTCGTCTCTTAGTTGATCACACATACATTAAGCTTTTACTCAGAAAATACACACTTACAATCAGAATATTGTATTGCGTATTCAGTTAGTGTGATTTTTTTTATTTGTATAGATAGTATTTTTTTTTATATGTTATTAAATGAAAATATTGTTACAATTTTAAAGAAAAAGAAAGGGCTTTCGCTATATTTAATGAAAACGAGTACAAACATCGATACTTAGCTCATTATTTTATTTCAATTCTCAACCTAAAAAAATGCTTTGTCTTTGTCTATATTTATTTTTATTCTTAAAAACATGATAAGTTTTGTGAAAATGATTATCTTTTTATGCTTTGTTTTAAGTGGAATTATTTAGATTCTTAATTAAACATCAATCAATTCACTACCTCAATTAGTTCAATGGTTAATTGTTGAGATGACCAAGAATTCAATCAATATATTAAATAAATATATAGAAAGGTTCTTATTATTTTTAACAAACTTATGAAAAGAGCTTATCAATAATTAAAATATTTAATCCACTTGTAATTTAATAACTCAATAAAAAAAAACTAATTAGTGATTTCTTCAATTTTGAAGGATGGATGGAGGTAATGTTGAAAAAATAAGGGATAATGCCCAAGTACCCCTCAACCTATGTCCGAAATCTCAGAGACACACTTATACTATACTAAGGTCCTATTACCCCCCTGAACTTATTTTATTAATAATTTTTTATCCCTTTTTAGCTTACGTGACACTATCTTGTGGGCCCAACGATGACTGACTTTTTTTCGAACTAGCGCCACGTAGGCTAAAAAGGGATAGAAAATTACATATAAAATAAGTTCAGGGGGTAATAGGACCTTAGTATAGTATAAGTGTGTTTCTGAGATTTCGGGCATAGATCGAGGGGTACTTGGGTATTTTCCCAAAAAATAAATCAAAACTTTATAATATTTTCTTCCATTCATTTGTTAAAGATCAAAATAAGAATTGAATGCAACAAAATGTAACAAATAAATAAATTACAATAATTTTCTTTTTTATATAAATAATTTCCTTATATCTAATAATTTATTATAATTAAAATACTTTAGAAATATATCAATTCACATTTCTTTTAGAATTTTATATTAATATTAAAAAAAATAACTCTTAGAAAATATTCCTTTAAAAAACTATTTTAAAAAAAGATTCTCAATACTACTCTCATTTGATTTGTTTTCCCTCTAAACAACTTTGACACATTCTTTATTCCTTTATTTTCCTTTTAAACTTCAAATGGTTGATAGCATCACAAAGTTTTATTTGAAACAAAGAAATTATATGACTATTTTTTTGGACTTTTTACGGGTGTTTAGTATTTATATTGAGATTTTTATCAATTTAAATTTATATCACGTAATACATAATATTTATTTTAAAAAAATATTTCGTGCTATAAATTATATTATATTTAAATTTTTGAAAATGAATTAAAGAGAAATAATATGAATTAAATATATTTACACTTTGCCTTTTTTTTTTCTAGAAAGAAGAAAAACAAATAATTACACAACTTTTCAAAATTGTGATACAAAGCTAATGAAATTGATCAATTAAATAGATGATTAAATTTCAACTTTTTTCTTTCTAGAAAGTAATTAAAAGAATAAAATGATTACATAGAATCACCTACTTTTCATTTCAAATTTGACTAGAAAAAGTTACTATAATTTTTTTTAAAAAAAAAATTATAATTAGGATCAAATATGTTAAATTTCAGCCGTTGGATGAGTGATCAATTAGTGATCAACGGTTGAGATTGATATAACATTCATAAACGTTATATTTGAAGGTAGATTCAAAATAGTCCGTTAAATATGCATCGATTAGATGTAATTCGGAATTTGATGTAATTTTTTAAGGTGTAATTTTTGCTATATCCTATATCATCTCGGTGTCTAGTGCAATGTCCTATGTTGCATTTTTAAAAAGATTTGACGGGACTCACTTATAGACATTTAAATAGATCTGTGAATATATTAGAGGAGACAAGATTAGAAAGAGGATATACGCGATAACATGAAAATAACCTCCATGATGAAAAGAACGCAGAAAACAAGATTGAAATGATTCAACATTGAAAGGATCAGGAACATATATGCAATAACAAAAAGGCGTGTGAGTTTGATGTAGATAGGCCTATGAAAAATTTGAAAATGATTGCTATACAAGACGTAATTCTCCTTTCAACAATAAACTTAGCGAATACAAAACTTTATGATAATACCCAAAATTTTTTATTCAGACATTGTAGAGGTGTGATGACTTCATCATCCTCACCTTCCCCTGACTTATCACCGATTTTATATTCAATATTTCAAATTCAACATATGAAAATTGTACTCGTTTGATATTTAACCCAATATCTTATAACACGTGCTAATAGAATATCATAAAGCTCAAACAAGGACAAAATCAATCGGTAGCTAAACAATTTCTTTGCTTTCAACGATAAAACAATGCTTCTAATTTAAAGCACCTTATTTCTTCGTCTTCACCTTATTAATTTATCCACATTATCATCCTCTTCAGTTTTAACACTATTGTTGTTTTCATTACTTTAATTACTTTTACTAATTTTATTTTTTTGTACTCCGATATTTTTACCATATCTTCTTTACTCTAATCTCCAAATTATTGAGATCCACTTATAAAATCACATTAAATGCATAGTTTTAATCATATTTAAAACTTTTTTTTTTATAACTATTTTTATAAAGTTTAGTGAAAAATTATTAAACATAAACTATATTCACAAAGATATTTTAAAAACAAATTTAATTTTTATGGAAAAAACATAAAAGGACCATTTTTGTCATTTTCTCGTGATTTTGAAAACGCCATTTCTCCTTCTTCTTCACCTTCTCAAATTTTCCCCTTTTCGCCATTGTTTTCAATCCTCATTGTGAAGAAAAATCATCGCAAAAATTGCATTTTTTGAAATTGAATTTGAGTGAAAAGAAGCAATAGTTTGTTGAATATACTTTAATTTTTTTTTAGATTTTTTTTCATCTATTAATCGCCAAAATTGACAGCGTTTATGCAATGTAAGTTTTGTCAACCGAATCATATGATTTTTTTTTGTGTGGTTTGTGTAATGTATTTTACTTTGAAGTTCGAAGACTTACTTTAAAATCTTTGCAGGAAGGACGGAGAACAAAGGGTTTATTGATTTGTTGCGTAATGTGCTGTGAATCGAGAAGTGGGTTTTGTTTGATTTGGTGGTTTTGACTCTCTTTCGATGACAACTACCAAACGTGCTTATAAGCTACGTATCCTATTTTTTTTTTTGGTTTGTATTGTTAGTTTATTTGCTTAATTTTGTTGTTTGGCTTGCAATTGGTCATATAGGGTAACAATTTCTTCATAAAAATTGAAAATTGTGCAATGTGGTGAATGATTAACTTTGATTGAACTGTATATAGAGACAAATGATAGTAGGGGACTAGGTTCTTAATGGTTTTTGTTTTGTACTGGGAAAAAGGGGGAAAGAAATGAATGTGAGCTGAGGTGTACCGGTAGTAGTCTCTCTACCTCACAATGGTAGGGGTAAGGTCTGCATAGATCCTACCTCCCCCACGCCCCAGTTGTGGGATCAGAACTGGGTATGTTGTTGTAGAAATGAATGGTAAATTAGAGAACTCACACTATGATTTGAAGACCTTGACAATGCTTTGTCATAGAGGAATTTGTAGCACATTCTTTAAGTGTGAACTGCTTAAAGATTGGGAGAAAATCATCCAGGGTTCTTGTAACTGGGGGAGAAGATCACAAGGTTAATCTCTGGTCCATTGGCAAGCCTGATGCCATATTGGTTAGTATCTCTTATTAGTTTCTCTTTTCATTGTAATTTCATTTCCTTTGTTATGTATGTGTGCATTGAGATCAAAATATCTTTGGCTCTAACCAAAAAGGAAGGTATATGAGTACAAAGGGTGAATGCTTACATTATTAAATTTGATTTACACTGTCAAGCAGCTAAATCTATATTATGTAGTTCCTTTTTGGATGACCACAATGGAATGTTCTTCCTGATCGAGGCCGTTGTTTGGGGCTTAACCTTACGGCTATCATTTTCTCTGTTTGCAAAGATGCAATTTTAGCGGCAACATTGTTTGTTTTTTAACACATTGTCTTGTATCTGTATTCTTGTGTAGAGCTTGTCAGGTCATTCAAGCGGAATCGATTCAGTTAGCTTTGATTCTTCAGAAGTTCTGGTAGCTGCAGGAGCTGCCAGTGGTACTATTAAGCTTTGGGATCTAGAGGAAGCCAAAAGTAGGCTTTTTAGAACTTTATTCTCTGTGAATATCATTTTTTTATTTTTATCATGAACTTTACAAATTCTATCTCTTTATCGATCTATATTTCTCAGTTGTTCGAACTCTCACTGGACATAGATCCAATTGTATATCATTGGACTTCCATCCCTTTGGTGAGTTCTTTGCATCTGGGTCTCTGGACACAAATCTAAAGATATGGGATATTAGACGCAAAGGGTGCATTCACACATACAAAGGTCACACTCGAGGTGTCAATACCATCAGGTTCACGCCAGATGGACGCTGGGTTGTATCTGGTGGAGAAGACCGTAGTGTA